CCCCCCGCAAAAAAAAGAAAGAAAGAGGGGGAGAAAACGGGAAGAAGTAGTGAGGTTTCGCACCGCATAGCGAAGACAGCAGTAATGATGAATAGGCCAGATCGACCGAGGAGGACAACAGGAAATCCTCAATCGAGGTTGGGGATTGAGAAAAGTGAGGAGAGTGACAATTAATCCCAAGGAGGAAAAAAGAAAAAAGAAAAAAGAAAAAGAAGGGACAATGACGAGGAGGATTAGAGCGATACGAGAAGGGAGGGAGGCGAGGGTGGGGAGGGGAGGGAAGGGAGGGAGGGAGGGGAGGGAGGGAGAAAGTGAGGGAGGGGAAGGAGGAAAGGGAGGGAGGGAGGGAGGGAGGGAGGAAGAAAGAAGAAGGCCAAAAGAAATAGAAGAAAAAAAAAAACGGAAAATAAAAGGACGACGAGGAGGAGGAGGAGGAGGAGGAGGAGGAAAACATGGATAAGGGGTGATTAAACGATTCGCAGGGAGGAGAAGCCAGAGAGGAGGAGGCGGAGGAGGAGGAGGAGGAGGAGGAGGAGCGAGCTTTATTGGGATCTTAGATGAGTGCAACTCCCAGGTACATTAGATACCTTAAACCTCAGATATCTGGTAGAGAATTCCCGGCGTACATCGGTGTGAAGAGCTTGCTTCCTTCCCCCACCGCAAAAAAAGAAAGAATTTTTTTTCCCGACGGCTAATCCCTTCGCTTCGTCAATATAGCTACCACCTCCGTCAACAAGGGTCACCCAAGACGACGCCAGAATAGGGGTAACTTCAGTACAGTTTGCAATTTTTTGCACATCGGGCACCCTACACCTGGCCAGAAAGCTGGGTTGTATACATTGCCCGAACTGCAATTCGAAACTGTATCTTGGCCCATGTATAGTGCAATTATAACTCATTTTTGTGACTCCCGCGTAGTTTCCCCATATCATTACAATGGGAAAAGCAGAACATAGTACATGCGGAGAAGTAATGTAGATCTGTCTATGCTTGTACAAGAAGCAATCTATGGTCACTCTTTTCCACTCTTCTTCTTCTTCTTCTTCTTCTTCTTCTTCTTCTTCTTCTTCTTCTTGTTGCTTCGTCTTCTTCTTTTTCTTCTTCTTCTTCTTGCTTCGTCTTCTTCTTCTTCTTCTTCTTCGTCGTCGTCGTCGTCGTCTTTCTTCGTCTTCTTCTTCTTCTTCTTCTTCTTCCTCCTCTCTTCTTTTCTTTTTCTTCTTCTTTTTTTTCCCTTCTTCTTCTTCTTTCTTGGAATCGAAAGCTTGAGAAGCATGTACAGAAACGAGTTTTGCCGCTGTTTGTCAGCATTCTTCTTCTTCTTCTTCTTCTTCTTCAACTGCGTCGCTGCTTCCCTCTCTTTTCCTTCTGTTGCCTATTAGTTCTCCTTATCCCTTCCTTTTCTTTTCCATATCCTCATTTCTCTTTCCTCTTTCCCACTTTTATATTTCGTTACCAGTTCTTCTTCCGCCTAGTAAGCGGGAGGTCGCATGTTCGATTCACGGATTCGACTTTTAGCCCTGTGATATCATGGCTGCTGACGTTCGTTGCCATTAGCTATTCTTCTTCCTCTTTCTTTGTCCTCTTTTCTTCTTTCTCTGCTGCTAGTGCTGCGTCCTTTCCTTTTCGATCACCTCCTCCCCCTTTTTTCCTCCTCTTCTCCTCCTCTTCTGTACCCGCCTCTTGCTCCTTTACTCTGATACTTCATCGTTCATTCACCGAGAATTCCACACCACAAGTAAACCACGTCTCCACCCACACAACAGCCAGGTATGAAAATCAAGAGAGCACGCAACAAATTGATCGAGAAAAGGAAGAGAGAGAGGAGAGAGAGGAGAGAAGAGGAGGAGAGAAAGACGAGAAAGAGAGGAGAAAAGACAGGAGAAAGAAAGAGGCGAGAGAGGAGAGAGAGAAGAGACAGCAGAGAGACAGAAGAGAGAGGAGAGAGGAGAGAGAGAGGAGAGAACAGAGGAGACGGAGGAAAGGATCGAGAGAGAGGAGAAAGAAGAAGAGGGGGAAAGACGGAAGAGAGGACAGGAGAGGACAGAGAGAGGAGAGGGAGACAAAGAGGAGAGAGACGACAGAGGGGGGAGAGGAGAGAGAGGAGAGAGAGGAGAGAGAGAGAGAGGGAGGGAGGCAGGGCGTACGTAAGGGAGGAGGAGATGTGAATGTAGATCAAAGCTAGCGTTGACACGTCGGAGACGTGATGATAATAGTAATGGATAGAAGTTATGGTACATACCTCTGCTCGTTTGCCTTGCTCTGTGCCCTGCTTTCTTGAGGTCCTCCGTTCCGAGACATCATCTTCTTCTTCACCCTCATCATCTTCATCGCCATCACCATCGCCATCATACTTAGCTCTTTTTCTGTCGCTCCCGTCTTCTCGATCCTTCCTGCTATTACTCCTCCTCGACCTATGTCTATCTCCTCTATCTTTTCTGTCACGACTGTCCGCTCTGTCTTTTCTGTCCCGACTCCTGCTGCGCGATCTACCGCGCCCTCTGTCCCGACTCCTGCTCCTGCTCCTACTCCTACTCCTCCCTCTCCGACCCTCTCTTTCTCTCTCCTTGCTCCTGCTGCGGCTTCGGCTGCGACCACCTCCCTTCCCCCCTCCTCTATCTCTGCTGCCTCTCCTCCTTTCTCTCTCCTTACTTCGGCTCCGGCTTCGGGCGACCGGTCTCCTCTCCCTCTCTCTCTCCACCTCCCGCTTGGACGGCGACCGGGATCGCTTTCGCAATGCCCTTGCCTCTCCCGGCGACCGAGGACTCCCCGACCGGTCGCGCCGCCCTCTCTTCGATGACGCTAACTCGCTAGCCGGAGGAGGACTCCCTCCCTCCTCCCCACCACCTCTCTCTTTCTCCCTCCTCCCCGGCGACCGGTCCCCCCATTCCCTACTCGGCGAACGACCCCGCTCGCCGCTCTCATCAGGAGTTCGTTCTCTGTCCCTTCCCATCCTCTCCTCCTCCAACCACCTCCTTTCTCCCTCTCTCCCTTCCTCCCTCACCTTAGCTCACAACTGGTGAGTCTTCCCACCTATAACAGACCAACCCTCTGTCTTTTCCCACACCGGAACCTCTCCTTCTCCTCCTCCTCCTCCTCCTCCTTCTCCTCCTCCTCCTCCTCTACATGATTCAATTAGATTACGCCCGTGATTGTAATGTCTACATACTATGTATTGGAAAAGACTGGATAACGCTCTTCGATAAGGGCATAGTCACACTACCAGTAGGACCTTTTCTACTGCCTTCTGGACGTGATTGCCGCCAAGTGCATCCAGCTTTGGCCGTAATTGTGGTCAGATTCCTTTAGGAATTCGCTACCAGGTAGTGTGAGCACGACCTAAGTTCGAAAAAAAATTCTGTGCATGAAGACGGCGGCTCGACGACGTTCATTCAATCACAAAAAGTCTCTTCATCGTTTTCCAAATTATACACGTTGATGGACAGCCCGCCACGTCAGCATCCAAGATTTTGATTGATCACCTCCCGATCCAGTCAGCTCCCTCCACAACTAGTACACGTCATCAAGCCCCCCCCCCCGCCTCTCCCGTCGTCATTCTCTCTAAAAGTTCACCTTACGTGCATTTCCGGGGGCTTGGCTCTGAAAAAAACCGCCGCTCGTCTTCTCGACAGAGAGCACATTTCCCTGCGGACATGGATGGGACCACCTACCATGGAGCATGGACCCGGTCTCTCCGTACCTGTCGCTCCATGCCTGGGAGCAGGGTAGGGCGGACATGTTCTGCGACCAAGTTGCGCGGCACGGCGGAATTTCGGACTGGCGCAGCGGGAAACAAAATCAAAACGCCTAATAGCCGAGGCGTCCGCGCCTTCAGTGCTTTTTTTTTTTTCCTTTTCGAAAAGCTATGGGGCTCGTTCGACACTCCTCGGGCGCGTAAAATCCCCGAGGAAATCATCGTTCCACTTATCCTCGGGGAAGAAAACGGAAAAAAAAAGTGAAAACATTTCCTCGGGATTGCTCCGGGATTCCTCGGGCTACAGCCATTTCGACGTGTTCCCCGAGGTCCCTTGGAGGTCGAGCATCCTGAAGAATGGGGGCGTCGACGGCAGCTCTCTCGACGACAATTTTCGACGTGGCTGGTCCATTGCTGTTCCTGGCGGCCCGTGGACGGACATCTCCGATTGGCAACGGTCGGTGTCATGGAATACTCCGCCAACCGTCCCCTTTGGCGGCCTGCCGTCCTCCGCGACGTCGAAAAGGGGCTGCCTTGCGTCTCTGCCCTTCGGCAGTAGCGGGAAAGCGCCCAACGGTCGGCAGATTCAAATACTTCAGCCCGCCCCCGCTCTCCCGATTGCGCAGTGTCTTCCGCGATGGAATACGTTACCCTTCGTTTGTCTGTAGCTGCGATCGGCCATTTGCGCCATTGACCCTCGCCGTTTCCTGGACGTCCACGATTGTCTTCTAGCTGCTGGCGTCGTCCATGCACGTTTCATGGCCGACGTCTTTCGGAGGCTGCCGCTGCTTGTCCTTGAAGTAGTCTGCCATCGCGTCGTCGCATTGCCGAAGATCTTCCCACGTCCCGCCTGTCCGTTGCTTCATCCACCGCCTGGGCGTCGCTCTGGGTATGCTCCACACCCCATGGCGTAGAAAACCTGCAGCACGGCGTCACAAATGGCACCACTGTCCTCCCCCTCCACATTCGTGGACTGCAGCGTCCTCTTCCGCCGTGCGCGAATGGCCGCTCTCATCCTCCCCTCGCCCCTCTGCAATTGACACCAGAAGAGGATGGCGTTCACAGCTGCTGCCACCGCCATCCTCTCCGCCTTGCTCAGTGTGTCACGTCCCAGCCCCCCGTTCATGGCCATCACCGAAACTCGTACTATCGACGTGGGCGTCGCCAAGTGCAGAAGAGTCCACGTGTGGCGGGCCGCACAACAGCGCTGCTGCCAGTGACGACCTGAGTGCACAGCGTCCACGTCGACGATCAAGCTCGCCTGCGAAGACGACAATGACGGCGATCGTGTGACGGCGTGTTTGCTTCTTCGGACGCGTACATGTACGTTCGGCGTGCCCACCGAAACGCAGCCGCCACCCCGTACCGAAACGCTTCCGCCGAGGAACGTTGCTGCCGTCTGCCGCAAGGGATGCCCACAGTCCTAGACGATCGCTTGCGGAAATTCAAATTTCGAACCCGGGACTGTGTGCCTTTTTCATGCCATTTTTTTTTTCCGCCGCCAACTTCCAATTTCGTGACGGCCGCCCGAGCTGGACCAACGACGTTGGCACGGACACACCTTGATGGACCAACCGCCCCTCCCCCCCGGCGTCCGCTCGTCGATATATGAAACTGGCCGCGGAAGGCCCCGAGGAATCGTCCTCTCCGAGGATGAGTGGAACGACGGCGCAAATTTCCTCGGGCGAAGACGGGAGAATTTCCTCGGGCCTCGAGGACGGCCCGAGGAGTGTCGAACGAGCCCCTATATTCTTCTCTCAATTTCACCTCACACTACCTACCTACCACTTTTTTTTCCCTAATTGTAGGCATACGGCGTCTTTGAACTTCGAAGTCACGCCCGCAATAGCCGAGGCGTCCACGCCTTCAGTGCTTTGGAGCACAATGGCGTCTTTGAACTTAGAATTCAGACCAGGCCCTGTGCAAATGGTTCTTTCTCTCATTCTACTCATCTGGTCTCATTCTGCGCATCTGGTTGCGTGGAGGGTTGCGTTGTACCACCAAAACTGAGCTACCGGAAGGCCCGAATTCTCAATCTCTGACCGTAGATTTCGAAGACCAACGACCAGAAATGGAGGAGTCGCGTGAGCGGGCCCCCGTTGGTATTTGCCTGCCGTTTGGAATCCAGTGCATGCCCTTCGACTCAAACTTCGATTCTTGGAGCCTAACCTCACTGTCCAATTTTTTTTCATGTTTTACTTTCCTTCTCTCAATTTCCCGTTTCAGTATATCTCCCTACAACTGCTCCTAAGCCTATACCGGTGACCCCTGCAAACATAGCTACCTCTCACAATTAAGGGGGTGCTTGAATTTTGGCCAGGGTGTGCCCAATGTACGTAATGAGTGGCAAAGTATGGTAATGCACGGGTACTACCTTCTTCCCCCGAGCATAACGCATATGCGTTGTAAACGAAAACAACGCACAGGGTGTGTTCTATTCGCAGACAAAGCACATGTGGTCTATTCGAATAGTCCTAAATTTCGAATACAACGCATGCACGTTACGTTCGGGGGAAAAGGGTGCGAAAAGCTGAACTAGGGCATACTCACACTAAGGGTAGGAGTTATTCAACTTCTGTCGACGTAATTGCGGTTAGGTGCTGGTGCATCCCTGCCGGCTCGAGAAAGTCATCATGCCGTGGGAACTGGGCCCGTTTCTTATAAATCATGGTTTTTTTTTTTTTTTTTTTTTTTTTTTTTTTTTAATGAAAAGGTTGTGCAGGCTGAGGTATAGGCAGGCCCTACCCTGGCGGCCAGTGCTTTAATCACACTCCCATGGCACAACCAGCGCAGAGTGGGGGCATTCCAAGCCGGGAGACTCCCAATGGTACCCAGTCATTCAGGGACCTCCCTCTCCCAACTGTGTACGTCGTAAGCATAGCCAGCAAGACACTGTGCGGGCGGGACCCCCCATACAACATCTACAAAGCCTTGTGACCGCCCCTTTTGGGGTACCTGGCCGGTGCTGTGAATGTGCTAGAGTCCAATATCGCGGATTCCTAGCGTGGGAATTTTTAGTGAGTGCCAATGCACTCGATCCAGTCAAACAGAACTCAATCCCGCTGCCTGTCCCTTGCGACACAGGAACCTGTTGAACACAGGCGCACGCCCAACTGGGCTACCGCATGGGTTAATTGAAACCAAGCGGCCAAGTAGTCCCACCTCTTTTTGGGTTCGTGGAAAATTGTGACGGTTCAATTTGTTCTGCTTCAGGGCCACCCGCGCTTAAACCGCTACCTTCTTCCCCCGAATACAAGCACGGTGATTATAGCTGTATCTGGGGTATCTTTCAGTCTAAATACAGCTATAATGACCGTACGTTGTATTCGGGGAAGAAGGGAGGGTGTCTGCCAAAAGTTTGGACCACGTACTGTTACCGCAGTTACTTCCTTCAGTTGGGCACATTCATTTGAATACCCCCGCGACGAAAGCTTTGTACTCATTCGCCCCCAAGCAGGGCAAAAAGTCTTGGAGGCCCTCGAACGGTCATGCCCTTTGGGACATCCGTTAAACCACCAGTACCTGGCCCAGCTATCGAGTCCGGTCGGTGGCCCAGCTATCGAGTCCGAGCCTCGGCCGACCGGTACGCCGATCTGTGCCGAGGCTCGGACTACCGGGCGCAGGCATCCCGAAGGTCGGCCTGAAAGGTACAAAAAAAAGGGGAAAAAAAAACGAAACGGGAAAAAAAAAACGAAAAAAAAAAAAGAAATAAGAAAAAAGAACGGGTGCATTCCCGCTTTGCATCAGAAAAGCAAAGCGGGAATGAATGTTCCCGCTTTGGCACAGAGAGAGAGAGAGAGAGAGAGAGAGAGAGAGAG